GAGCCTGATGCAGGACTCGATCCAGGGACTCCAGGATCATGACCTGAGCCGAAGGCAGTCGCTTAACCAACTGAGCCACCCAGGCGCCCTTTTCCTTCTATTTCTATCACCTATGGAATATCTACCAATGTTTAAGATCCATTTCAAATACTACCCCTTTTATCAAGCAAAGGTACCAACAGAGTATAAAACTGTACCTCCTAAGAAACCCATAGCCCTTTTTATATGCCTTAAGACACATTTTGTCCCATATGTTTTGTGGACATATCTTCTAGAAAAAACATACTCCTTTTTTTAGGAGGCCAAAAAATGGAGATCTGGATCCACCCCATCAATTCTCATAGGTAGCGTTCTGTTAAGACAGGTGCGATTCTCTTTGACTCATCTTGCTCCCAGATTGTTCAACTTTGTAACCCACACAGCAACAGGCATGCACCTTGTCCATTTTAGATGCCCAATAAACAGTGGATATTATCCTCTTCTGATGAAAGGTGATATTCCCATTTTTGCAGCTTTCATAGAAGCCCCCAAATATTGAATAATTACCCTAGTTTAAATGCTTAGCATACATAGGGTTTGCATTCTTTTTTTTAAATTTTATTATGTTATGTTAATCACCATACATTACATCATTAGTTTTTGATGTAGTGTTCCATGATTCATTGTTTGCGTATAACACCCAGTGCTCCATGCAGAATGTGCCCTCTTTAATACCCATCACCAGGCTAACCCACCTCCCCACCCCCCTCCCCTCTAGAACCCTCAGTTTGTTTCTCAGAGTCCATAGTCCCTCATGGTTCGTCTCCCCCTCCGAATTCCCCCCCTTCATTTTTCCCTTCCTGCTATCTTTTTTTTTTTTTTTAAGATTTATTTATTTATTTATTTGAGAGAGCGAAAATGAGAGTACATGAGAGGGGAGAGGGTCAGAGGGAGAAGCAGGCTCCTCGCTGAGCAGGGAGCCCCACGCGGGACTCGATCCCAGGACTCCGGGACCATGACCCAAGCCGAAGGCAGTCGCTTAACCAACTGAGCCACCCAGGCGCCCCTTCTTTTTTTTTTTTTTTTTTAACACATAATGTATTATTTGTTTCAGAGGTACAGGTCTGTGATTCAACAGTCTTACACAATTCACAGGGCTCACCATAGCACATACCCTCCCCAATGTCTATCACCCAGACACCCCATGCCTCCCACCCCCCACCACTCCAGCAACCCTCAGTTTGTTTCCTGAGATTAAGAATTCCTCATATCAGTGAGGTCATATGATACATGTCTTTCTCTGAGTGACTTATTTCGCTCAGCATAACACCCTCCAGTTCCATCCACGTCATTGCAAATGGCAAGATTTCATTCCTTTTGATGGCTGCATAATATTCCATTGTATTTATATACCACATCTTCTTTATCCATTCATCTGTCGATGGACATCTTGGCTCTTTCCATAGTTTGGCTATTGTGGACATTGCTGCTATAAACATTGGGGTGCACGTACCCCTTCGGAAGGGATTGCATTCTTTATTGTGACTTCCATTTTGGAAATTTTCTTGCTTGAACTTTACCTGACAATCCTTTCCACATAGCAAAGGGTTTCCCCCCCCCCCTCACTCTATGCAGAGTCCATAGCACTCACTACCTTTGTCCATCGCAGTCCCACATTTAAGCCTCAGAAGCCTTTTAGGTAAGCACCACCTTTGTGACCATTTTACTGATGAAGAAAACTGGGGCCTAAAGATTTAACAACTTTCTGGATCACAAAATAACAGAGCAACTGAGGCAGGTTTGAAACCCAGGCCTCCAAGATTCCAAAACTTAATGATTTAACCCCTACGCCAATCCAGACCCTCACTAATTGTGGTGGCTATTAAACCCACCCACTTTTGTGGAGGGTGGGGCAGAAAGGTCCTCTTGGACGAAAAGCAAAGTTGGCAAAATCAATTCGAATCTCTCTTAACTCGTATGATTTCCACCGCGGGGTAAACTCGGGGGCACCTTGACTTCGCGCTTTGGCTCTCAGGGCTCAGGCCCTCGCATCAGTACCCCTGTGGGTCCTCTACCTCCCCGCTGGCGGCGCGAGGGTGGGGCGGGGGCTCCGGTCGTCTCGGGCGGCGGCCAATAGCGGTGCAGGGGTCAGACTCTGCTCCCCGCGAGGGGCGCAGCGGTTGCTAAGTGCAGGGAGGAGACGGATCCCGCGCCAGCACCCAGGGAAGGGGGAGGCGCGAGCGAGAGCGCGTGGGAGCGCGGAGGCCCGAGCCGGGAAGGGGGAGCGAGCCGAGAGAGACGCCAGGGAGGCGCGCGGGAGCGAACGCCCGCTCGGGAGCCGGAGCCCCGCGGCATTGCGGCCGCGCCCTAGCCGGAGCCCGTGCGGCAGCCCAGTCCCGCTCCGCCCGCCGCAGCCACGGCTCCGGAGGATGGAGGACTCCCGGGAGACGTCACCCTCCTCCAACAACTCCTCCGAAGAGCTCAGCTCTGCCCTGAAGCTGTCCAAGGGCATGTCGATCTTCCTCGACGTAAGTACAGGGCGCAGGAGTTGGGTCGGTGGTCCCCCCTGCATCTTTCCTCTTCCCCCGGAGGAGGGCGGTCGGTCCAGGAGCGGATCAGCCGCTGATCAGCTGTTTAGCCCCCAGAACACCAGCAGAACTACCTCCTACCTCGCTCTCCGGTCCCCCTGGAAATGCACCGAGCAAATGCGGGAGAAATGACTGCCACTCAACTTGTAGAAAAGGTTGCCCTGCGCCTGCAGCTCGGGGCTTAACAACCCTGAACGAACGGCAGAAGTTAAATTTTCCAACGGCGTGAGTTTCGTTGGGGACTCGATTTGTAAATACACCAGTCTCCATTCAGGTGAAGAGAGCATTTTAAAGGGGACTAATGGAGGGAGGGAACGTTAACTCAACTCCTTTCTGGTGTGCCCTGTTTGCAGCGCCCCCCTATCTCCCTGAAGCTCTAAGGCGACGGGGGAAGCAGTAGAGATTGCGATGCCTCGCCACCCTTCCCCAACCCCCACGGAGAGCAATTACTTTGAAAACATACTTGTTTTTCTATTTTACAGCGGTGGCCAAGATCTCTTTCATGATGATACTTTTTTTACTGCCACCTCCTATTTTTCCGTTTATCTCTCCTGTTATTCTCCTTCCCTATACCTCTCCAAGTTTTAATTACTACTCATCAAATTCTACCATTTGACTGTTCTTCATTTGGGCCTCTCCCCCCACCCCCACCCCCTTTCGGGATTGATTCCCTTCCTTCTTTTCTGAGACGGTGATCGTTCTTTCTCATTCTTGGTTTTCTTTTTTCTCTTTTTCTGCCCTCACGCTGTTTTTTTTTTTTTTTTTAAGATTTATTTATTTGACAGAGAGAGAGATAGCGAGAGCAGGAACACAAGCAGGGGGAGTGGGAGAGCTAGAAGCAGGCTTCCTGCTGAGCAGGGCGCCCGATGTGGGACTCGATCCCAGGATTCTGGGATCATGACCTGAGCCGAAGGCAGACGCTTAACGACTGAGCCGCCCAGGCGCCCCACGCTGGGGTTTTTAACCTTTACAGCAGTTTTGTTTCTTATTTATTTCTCAATTTTGCCTTATTGTCCCTTTCTGTTGTTTCTGTTCTTTATTATTTTTCGCCCTGTTGCCCAGCTCTTTTCTCTGCTGTTAGGATTCATGGTTTTCCTATCCCTCAGCTCCTGTTCCCTCAGCCCCTCCGTTGTCACATTGATGCTGTCCCCTGGAGGTAGTTGCTGGCTTAGTGGGAACAATGCTGGCCCCTTCTCATTTAGGCATGAGAGAAAATTGGCAAAAGGCTTTGAGGAGTGCTGTGTGCTCTTTCCTCTACCCTTCCCTGAGATCATTTCTTATTAAAATCCAGCTGTATATAAAACTGAAATACGTTTATTTGCAGAGAGATGAAAATGTGAGGAAATCAACTTAGTAGCATCATAATGGTGAAGCAGATGTCATGAAGATAAGGGGGATGGGGTGAGGAGCTCTCCCAAGTTTATTTTGAATGGATTAGCTGGGATTTTTTAATTGGGAAAGAAAACCATATGAATAATTAAATCTGGTCTAAGGCAAATGTTGTAGGTAAGGCTCAGCTGTGTCTCCTGGCAGCTTCCTCCCCTCATTACCATGCAGTTCCAGTTGGGGATCCAGGCTTTCTTGGCCGGCCATCTTCCCACAAAACAATCTGATTCCCATTCCTTCTCTCAGTAGGATTAAGTACCTTATTCTTCCTGTTCTGGTCAATCGAGTGATGTTTGGATGCTAATGGCTGATATTCTTCCTTTTCAATCCTGCCATTCAGGGCCAAAAAGCCCTTGCGGAAACCAAGCTGGGAGAAGGGGGCACAGAGCACCCCTGAGAAAGGAATGTTCAGGGATAGCATCAGGGTCCCAGAAACTCATGTCTGTTATGAGGTCAGTGACTAAGCTGCCATGAAGTTGATTCAGAGAGGGCAAGAGAGCCTTCCATTCATTCTGGCCTGATCTTCACTCTGTCCCCCAAGGTTATCAGGTGCTTCTCTGTGACTTTCTTAAAGCAGTGAACAAATCCTTGTGATACTGTAGAGATGAATGGATTGAGCTGTATAAATGAAGGTCATCCTCCTCGACACACACACTAATCTTGACCCAACCGTTCAAACTGCTACGAAAAAAGAAAAAAAGAAGAAAAAAGAAAAGAAGAAATTAAAATCTTATTTATTATTGTATCTACACGATTTTTCTCAAGCTCTGTAAATAAACAGCATCAGGTCCCTGTCCTGAAGGAACACGTACTCTATGAATAGGATACCCTCGCTGCCTTCTATTTCTAGAATTTAAAAATAAAAAATATAAAACTAATTTCACACGAGAGATGTTGACATGCTTGTTTGCCAGTAAAATGCTAGTGTCTATAAAAAAAACAAAACAAAACAAAACCTGCCACTGGATTTTATCCGAATAGAAAAGATTTTGTTTACACTTTTCTTTGAGATATTTTGTGAAAAATCTAGCACTCTGGTGAAATATGTGACATGAAAAAGGATTAATTACTTAGGGATTTTTGAATTATTCATTTCTGGGTCATATTGTTTTTAGCAAAAATAAAATGTGAAATATAAATACATAATTTGATTTGTTTTAATATATTCTAGTAGCACTGCTAAAAAATATTGCTTTTTGAATTCTAGTCAGATTGTAGTAAGTAGATAATAGGTATCCCCTATTCCAAAGAGGAACAGGAATGAAACCCATTAGAGCCTTTTGCATCACACAGACTGATTTCCAAATTTGAGGAAAACTTTGATTTCCAGTGTTTGTATTCCAATGCCACTGTAATAATCAGTCCTCTGAGAAATGATTTGAACTCTTTTGAGGATACCGTTGATGACATGACTAGGCATGTCCAACTGATAAGAAACTAGCCATAGATCAGAAAATCAGAGAGGAATTTACCGTAACTATTGAATTTTGCTTCATTTTCCTTATGTCCAAATCAGCAACAATGATGACTACGGTACTTAATTTGAGAGGTTGTTGTATTAAGTGAGAGTTCACAGGATAAGAAAACTGAGAAGAAAAAGGAAATGAGCTATATAAATTTGAACTATTCTTGCTACATCAGTGTTCCCTATTGAATGCCTAAGTAACAGTAGCCAATCCACAAATTAATACAGACACTGATCCATTATGAATCTGATGTATATTATTTTCTATCTAAAAAATGACAGAATGACATGTCAGTTCATCATCAATACTCTTGAATGCCTCTGGGGGTGCTTAGAAACCCAGGGCTGGTAGCAAGGCACGTTCGGGCACCCCGGCCCACGCGGCATGCAGGAGACGGACTGCACTGGGTGTCGTGTGCAGCAACGTAAAAGGACCAGGACAATGACAGTTCTTTTCCTTCTTAACTCCTCTACACTCTCTTTTCCCAGGTTATTTCATTCCAGATAACAGAGGATAAACTCTAGAATACTAGTCTGTATAGCATGTGGTCCCTCTTTTGAATCTTTACATTAATCAACTCCACTACTGTGCAAAGGGAGAACATTTTCAGATCATCCCCTGAAGCATGGTAAATGTAAAGTTAGTTACAACTTCACCACTTGCTGCCACTGTCTTTTCCCATACAGTTTTGATTTTTAGCTGGAAGGAAAGTGGCCCTTCCTCATTTGACTAGAGGCAGAAGTGGGGCCTGGGAGGTTCTGAAGGAGAGACAGGATTTTACTGTCTGTCTTCCCTTCCTTCCCCCAACCAAACATGCACACCCATGAACCCTGAACAAAATGCACAGTACCTGGATGGTCAGGGACTTGGTGAAAACAAGCAACAGCTTTGCTTGGTAAAAATACTGAATTCCGAAGCCCTGGACATATGCACCTATACTCATCTGTACAAGAGGTGAGATGGACAGGGGACCATCAGAGCAGAAACCATTTTCCAGGGTTGCCTGGGTGGCTCAGTCAGTCAAGCGCCTCCCTTTGGCTCAGGTCATGATCCCGGGGTCCTGGGATCAGCCCCACGTCATCGGACTCCCTGCTCAGTGGGGAGTCTGCTTCTCCCTCTGACCCTCCCCCCTCTTGTGCTCTCTCTCTCAAATAAATAAATAAAATCTTAAAAAAGAAAAAAAAGAAACCGTTTTCCAGGTATAACGGTTCTGTGACCAAACTCGGTTAGAGCTGTGTATCTCCTCTCCTGCCTAGTGCGCACTAGATAATTTGAGGGAAATTGTTCAGTTGGGAACATGGCAGTTAACCCCCTCATTGTCTACCCTAATTGGCCAAGCAAATATCACTCTCCTAATTTTAAGAAGCTGCAGAAATAAGGGAAACTTAGTTTAATGTTATCATACATTTAAACCTCTTTGCTCACACAAGGCCTATTCTAGGCAAGACTGAGAAGATAAAAATGTATGTGCCGATTACTTTTTCTCCAGTCCTCATCAGTGCCCACTCCCCTGCATCCTAGCTCAGTGGCAACTAGCAGAGTGGTAGCAAAACTGCCTCCTGGAGGTCAAGGTCTGCACACTAGTGTTTGCCTAGCAGGTCTTCCCTTCTGGATGCTACTCTGTGTTCTGGATGAGTGCCAACTTCCCTGTCCTCTATCCCCATTTCTCAGGAGTCTGACTGGCTCATCTCATTACTTAATTTTAACCTGGTACAGAGTAGGAAGCACTTATCAAATATTAGTTCAGTAAATAATGACTGTCAGTTTTTTAGGCCTCAGAGATAACATTTGCATTTTAACAACCTGCTTTCAATAACTTCAGGTGAGAAATGAGGAACTTCAATGAAGGCCTTCAAAGAAGAGCTTTGGGGTAAAGGATGCTATTCGAGAATTCTTAAATTGTTGCAAAAACACAGCGTAACCTCTGTTTGAGTTTTAATTCTGACCATAATATTTATATCTATTTACTGTCTATCCTGTGGCACTAACTGGTAAGATTAGCCAATCCAGATGACTATGGAGGTATAATGTAATGAACTTAGTTTTCATCTGCAGTACATTTCTTATTAGGCTGTGGGCTCAGAGGCAAAATTTGCAGCAGAGACAGTTCTGTTCATATTTAATTACAAAGAACTGTCTTAATAGAGAAAGCTACTGTCTTAATTTCATTTCTAAGAGGCTGAATGCTATTTAAGACAGTTCTTTATGGAATGAAATGATGGAAGTCAGGGGTCCGAGTCTCTGGTGTGCAGTTATTCCTATTCTAGTTACTCATAAGGACACAAGAGAGCTTGAAATAGAATCTTAGGGTATATTAAAGGTAAGAATTAGGCTGTGTTTCATGTCTCTCTGACTCTCAGCTGCTTCATAGTTTCAGAGGAGAGGAGGAAGCTGGGTATGATGGAGAGATGGATTCCCAAAACCCCCGCTAGAAATTACCTCTGTAGAGTAAAAAGGATTTGTGTCTCATTCTGTTCTAAGCATAGAAGCTCTTAGGACTGAAAGCAGTTTTCTTACAATAATTAAATAAATTTACTTTATAAAGGGGGACCAGCTTATGCACACAAGTCAGGATGATACATAACTTGTTGGAAATTTTTCGTAGGTGAGATTTTTATTAATAATATTAGTATCTTATAATAAACACATTATAATAATGATTAGATTTAACCATACTTCATCTTCATAAGGTCAACAGAAGGAAAGAGGAAAATATTTATTTAGTAGAAAGCAGTAAAACTTTGGTAGTAAAAACTATTGCTCATGTTTCAAGCTGCCTACCAAGAAATGATGACCTAAATTTAAGAGCAGCTCTGGTTACTTAACATAACTCTATATTGCTCAGAAAAATGATCCTCAAGTGCCCCTTGCATGTGATTCAAGGTTATCTTTGCAATATGATAAAGGGACATTTTCTCTGGTACTATATATAACATAGCTGTGTGTTATATTATGCAGATTTTTTTTCTGTCAGTCTACAGTATCAGCAAGGGCTAATTTGACTGTTGCTAACAGAAAAAAAAATAACCCAAACTATCTTAAGATTTAAAACAATAATTTAAAGACTCCTGTAATGAAAAATGGAGATCATGTCAGGATGGCTTGATCAGAAGCTCAGAGAGTGTCACCAGGATCCACTTTCAGTCTCTGGATAGACCCTGCTTTCTTGAGGGCTCGTTACGTCCCGGTTTTATGTTGTATCGATTTCCTAAGGCTGCTGTAACAGTGTTCTGCACACAGAGTGCCTTAAACGACCAAATGTATCCTCTCAGTTCTGGAGGCTAGATGGCTGCCATCAAGGTGTAGGTAGGATGTCGCTACCTCTGCGCTCTGAATCTGCTCAGTGCCTCTCCCCTAGCTTCTCACTGTGGTCAGTCCTTTACATTCTTTGGCTTGCAGCAGCATCACACCAATATCTGCCTCCATTATCATATGGTCTCCTCTGTCTAAGCTTCTTTGAATCTCGCTTTCCTTACAAAGTCACCAGTCTTTGGATGTAGGGCCCACCCCAATGCGGTAAGATCTTATCTTAATATGATTACATCAGCAAAGACTGTTTTCCAACAAGGTCACCTTCACAGTTACTGGGGGTTAGGACTTCCACTTTTGTTTTGAGGCAACACAGTTCAACCCATGATGGATATAATAACAGAAGGGGGGAGAGCAGCTTCTTACCTATATCTTCCCAGGTTCAAAGTCAGCAGAAGAAAGTGCGTCTCTCTTGACAATTCAAGCAAAACCATGGCCTTACTGTGCTCCTGCCTGAGTAATCACTGTGGCCAGAGTGATGTGACACCCTGTTTGCCAGGCCCAAGTGCTCTGCCCAATCCTCAAGCTCATGGGCCATGAGTGGAGAAAAGACTGGTTGCCCGGAAGAAAATTTTGAACTCATTACCAAAGATACCTGATGGCCAAGCAGTTCTTATCCACCAAAGATAATACAATTAATGCATAGAAGTAAAGTAAGATTTAATGTAGACATGTGAGCTCTATTTATTCATAATTTCTTATTTTTTTCTATTTATTCCCAGTTTATTGAGCTGTGATTGACTTACATTAAATTGCACATATTTAAAGTGAAAAGTTGATGAGTTTTTACATATATATATATAGGCCTATAAGACCCTTACCATAATTGAGATAATAAATATATCTACCACTCCAGAAAGTTTTCTCGTGTCCTTTTATAATGCCCTCCCTGCTCATTTGTATGCAACCCTTAATCTTATTTCTGTTGCTATGGATTAGTTTGCATTTTCTAGAATTTTATATAAATGGAATCATATAGCAGGTAATTTTTGTGTCTAGGTTTTTACTCAACATCATTATTTAGCGATCCATCTAGGTTATTGTGTGTATCAAGAGCTCATTCCTCTTTATTGCTCAGTAGTATTCACTGTATGGATGTGTCACAGGTTTTTTATGCATTCACTTGTTCAAAGACATTTGGGTTGTTTTCAGTTTCTGACTATTCTAAGGAAACATCTCAATTGGGAAATCTTTATTTAAAATTGGAATTTCCACGAGACGCCTGGGTGGCTCAGTCGGTTAAGCGTCTGCCTTCGGCTCAGGTCATGATCTCAGGGACCTGGGATAGAGTCCTGCATGGGCTCCCTGCTCAGTGAGGAGCCTGCTTCTCCCTCTGCCTGCTGCTCCCCCTGCCTGTGCGCTCTCCCTCTCTCTGACAAATAAATAAAATCTTAAAAAATAAATAAATAAAATTGGAATTTCTTTTATTTACTAATGGGCGAATTATGTGTGAGTATAATGTTCATTGCAATTGCAAAAAAATGGTAATAAATTTTTTTTTTCTCTTTCAGATACTGAGGAGAGCAGATAAAAATGGTAAGACCAAAAATCTGTAGTTTCTATTTATTGATCTCTTACCTTTTAGATCACCTTCTAAAGAATAATAAGAAAGAGAGAGGAGAACTCAAGAAATTGATACATAAAATGTCAGCCTCTGGTACTCATAAGAGTTTTAGGCAAGTTTATGGCTCCAGATATGCATGAGAAGTTGAAAGAGGTACTTACATTTGACAGGAAGATGGAATTTATGCCTTTGAAGTGAGCAGCTCTCATAGCTCTGGCTTTTCCCTTTTATGCTTTAATTTTAAAGTAAGAACAGCTTCTATTCATTGAGTGTCTCCTGTGTGCCAGGCATTGGGTCAAGTGCTTTGAGTTATTTCTTAGAGTTAATAAGATATAGATCTGAGACTTGAATCCCAGGTCTGTGTGGCATGGGAGTCTAGGCTGTCCACGCTGAACTTCAGGGTGACCTTGGGGACTGTTGTTGCACTTGAAGGTGGCTATCTGGAAGCCTGCGTTGCCAACCTTACCTTCGCTCCATGGCTCCCGGCCATTGCTCTCTCATTGGAAGTGTATACCCTGGGACCGATAATCTACAGAGACAGAGAAGTAAGAGAAACTAGAAGAAAACAATTGTTCTGTCAGAGGAACTACAATTTAAATGAAGCCTGCACAAAGTCCAACTATAAGCTGTCATAAGGAATATCTTTTGACTCTTATCCCACTACAAATTGTGTTCCATAGAACACCGAATCAGAGCTTATCAAGTTTATTTTGCTGTTATAGTACAAGTACATAATAGAGCTATGTTCTTGACAAGACTTTCTCAACAAATTTAGGAGACAGAGTCCTTTCCTTTTCTTGAAATCGGATTTCTTATCTGTGGGGAAGGCTTACAGGCAGAGTCCAGATCTGACACTTCTAAAAACATTTGTTGTGGTCTAGTGAGCCCTTAAGCAGCCAGATCAAGAAAATCTTCATTGGCACTATATAGCTTTTCACACAACAGAAAATATATTACCCCAAGGGCAATAAAATACTGTCCCAAACCCTGATAATATTTAACTGTGCCTGTCCATCAGAATGTTTTCTCAAACTATGTTACAGGGGTTAATATATTATCAATTCAAAGGGTTTTTTTCTTTTTTCACTGGAATGCCTTGAATAATTTTTAAGACAGATGTAATGATGCTATCATCTTGTGTCTTCATCCTACTTGTTGGCCTTGTGCCTGACATCCAAACCCAGTGATGCCCGAAGCACAACTGAATAGTCCATATGGCTCCGTGCTGTCTGCCTGTGATTTCAGCAGCCATTTGCAGTTCAGAGATGCCTTTTCTCTCTCTCTCTCCCTCAGCTCCTAGTTTTCTCAGGCTGCACCTTCCTTTCCTTGGACCCCAAGGTCTGATTGAAGGTCATTATTACCTTCAAGAGTATATATCACTCTTCTCTCCATCAAAACTTGCATCTTTTGGTGGCCTACTGTCATAATCCATAGTCATAATAAAAAGCACTTGAAAAACCAAATTCATGATTTACTGGAGTTTATGATAACCTCATATGTTATGCTATGAAGAATGGTCCCTTGGACTGGGAGCCCTGTGTGGGCCTCTTCAGTCCCCAGTTTTTTTTACTTGCTTCCTTCCCGTATATGATACCTCTCGCTCCCTGCCCTAATGCCTGATCCTAATGTGCTGTCAAGGCTATCTGCCCTTCTGCTCTTATTCTTACAGTCTTCACCATGCATCCTCTTCTGCAGCTCTCTGAAGCACCAGGGATTCTCTGAGCATCACTCCGTCTGTCACACCTCTGTGGTGTCCTTGCTTTGACTTCCACATGCTCTACCCTTTCCACTCTTAGCCAGCTTGAGAACTCACATGTATTGCTTGCATCTTGCTCAGAAGACACCTTGTCGAAAAGCCTTCCTCAGCTTCCCCTTGCAGGGCCCCGCCCTCTATCTGGGCTCTCCGCACTGTGGCTTGTATTGATTATTCCCTTTTGCGGAGACTGCCGTTGTTTGCTGGTGATTCTACTCCCTTAAGCCAAACTTGCCTCTCTAGGGTGAGGAACTTGTCTTATGAATGGATCCTATGCCCAGCCAGTACTGGGTACTCAATGAATGTTCACTTAATGAATTAACAATGACTAATGACATTTTCCTCCATTACCCATCTCCCTTCTGTCTATCTACTCTTTCCCCTGCCTTCCATCCTGCTTTACTCTTCTCCCTCATTCTCAGTGTAAAGTGAGAGGAAGGCAGAGAGAGGCAGGTCTGGGTTTAAATCACAGCTCTGCACCTAGTAGCTCTGTGGCTTTGGGTAAGTAACAAACTCTTCACCCTCAGCTCTCTCATCTACAGAATAGAGATAATAGCATCTATGTGTGTCATGGGGTTATTATGAGTAATCAATGACATACAGATACAAAGTCCACAGGGAAGTGCATGGTGCACAGTAACAACTTACACCTGCTTATTTTGGAGTTGTGATGCCTTGGCTAGTGGAGACACTTGGTGACATTCCAGTCATTTCTATTTCAGTGGAATTTAGGGGGAAAAAGTCTATTTACCATACATGCAGAATTGAGAAAGGGAAAAAGTATAGTGGATAATCTAATGTAAAGGAGAAGATACCAGCATTAAAAAAAAACAAAACATCTTTCTGAACCATGTGTTCATTCCGTTCTGTATTTGTAAATAAAGAGCTGCTGCATGTACGTGATCTCTGGGTAACAGACCCTCATATGACAGAATCCCTCATGGACTGCATAATTGGTGATGGAGTAAAAACGGGAATAAGAGGTCATAAGCAGTATGATACTTAGTTTACCAGAGTGCAGATTTAGCTTCTGGGATCTATCTGACATGAGAGAAGCTGCTGGAGAAATGGGTGGGGAAAAGATACATGATAGCAATTAGCTGTAATAATGCTGTCTTAAGAGAGATTCATTTGGTTTTGGTTGCTGTTCTAAAATCATAGGCTAGGATCCTAGACATAAAGACAGACCTCAAAATAGGATAGATTAGAAGAGATGTGAGTGCTTTGATCTAAAGAGCCCAGAATTAAACCTAAAAATGCAAAACTCCTAAGAAAGCTTACTTAAATGCAGGTTGAATGAAAATGGAAATGATACATGGGTATTTGTAAAATTGGCAAAAAAAAAAAATTTAACCTTAGAAAAAGGCAAAAATGAAAGGCTCATAGTAATTAAGAACACCATGGATTGCTTTTGCTGATGTGCACTTCCTAAGATCTGCTGCCATTCTTGACCAGCAAATAGGTAGGCTGTTAGGGTGGCTCTTTTAATCCCAATGAATGACTGATCTCTGTAAGAAATTGTCATAGTTCTCCTCAGTGGCCTTTAATCTATTCCAGCAGCCTGTACATTATAAATCTGTGAGGACAGAGAATGTGCCTATTTCACATAGCATCAGGCCCACAGTGGTGATCAAAATGCCTGTCAGAGAAAGACAATTATCATATGGCTTCACTCATATGTGGAACATAAGAAAAAGGGCAGAGGACTGTAGGGGAAGGGAGGGAAACTGAATGGGAAGTCATCAGAGAGGGAGAAAAACCATGAGAGACTCTTAACTCTAGGAAACAAACTGAAGGTTGCTGGAGGGGAGGTAGGGGAGGAGTTGGGGTAACTGGGTGATGGGTATTAAGGAGGGCACATGATGGGATGACTAGGTGTTAAGTGAAACTGATAAATTATTGAACGCTACATCTGAAACTAATGTTGTACTATAAGTTGGCTAATTGAATTTAAATTAAAAAATGCCTGTCACAACATCCGTGCTCAATAAATACTTGCATATCTATTTGTAAGAGGTGCATGACCGACAGTCTGATACTGAAAATTGAAGAAGAAACACAATCTTATACATCAGTTAATCAAACTAAGCATTGTTGTTATTTATCTGTTGTTTATTAATTAATAATATTAGCTAAAACCCTAAAGTTTCCACCAAAAACAGTGTTAGAACTAATGAATGAATTCAGTAAAGTTGCAGTGTACGAAAACAATGTACAAAAATCTGTTGCATTTTTATATACTGACAATGAACTATCAGAAAAAGAAACTAGGAAAACAATCCCATTTACAGGTGCATCAAAAATAATGAAATACTAGAAATAAATTTAACCAATGTGGTGAAAGACTTGTACAGACATTGATAAAAGACATTAATGAGAGAAGTTAAAAAAGGACAAAAATATTTGGAAAGATATTCTGTGCTAGTGGATTAGAAGACAATATTGTTAAAATGTTGATATTACCCAAAGCAATCTAGAGATTCAATGTATTTCCTTTCAGAATTTTGGTGGACTTTTTCAGAAATAGAAAAAACAATCTTAAAATTGGAACAGAACTACATCTGGCATTAAAAACACTAATATAGGGGCACCTGGGTAGCTCAGCTGGTTAAGCATCTAACTCTTGATTTGGGCTCAGGTCATGATCTCAAAGTCATGAGATTGAGCCCTGCTTGGGGCTCCGCACTCAGCACAGAGTCTGCTTGGGATTCTCTCTCCTCTCCTTCTGCCTCTCCCCCAACTCTGTCTCTCTCTCTCTCTCTCTCAAATAAGTAAAATCTTTAAAAAATAAAATAAAAAATAAAAGTAAAAACACTAATATAAGAACAGTTGATATTGAATTTGTGTTTGGGTATATTTTGAAGACTTCACTGGATCATTATATAACCTATGTTAATAGGTTAATTGAGAATTGGTAAGAGCCTTTCAATGTGGTTGCCCAAGGTTTGGTTTATTCAATTAACATGTACAAATATGACCTCAGGTAGAGGGGTGAAACACAGGGTCGGTAAGTGGGAGTATTTTCCCTGAAGACAGGGAAACTTTCTGAGTACCACCCAGAGGTCTGTGGTTCTGTATTTCCTGCATCTTGATCACAAGGCCGTCCTTTGATGTGAGCTACTTAGTCAAGCATCACCAGCCCCACACGGGGCTCCATAGCCTCGCTGATCTTTTATTCAGGGATCCTAGCCCCAAATAAGGATGAAAAGATTAAAAAAC